ACTGATTCAATAACTAATTGCGGGGCTCAGAGCAAGAAGTAGAAAAGATTGGGGGAGGGGGAGGTGCCAGGGTGATGGCAAAATGGGATATTTTTGTTATTTTTCAATGGATTCTGTGGTAGCCAGGCTTGTGAAGGTGGATTACAGTGGGAAGTGGGATGGAAGAAAGTAGACAGTAGGGCAGTAAATTATATGAAAGTCATTTATAAGAAAGTGACGGCACGTGCAGATGCCCAGGTAACACCCTAGAGGCATCACCAAAACGCCCACTTCTCTAAGTCCTCAGAACCTGTTCTTTCTCTAACCTTGCCATGGAACCCCTCAAATCATGCTTGGAGATTTGGAGGCAGGAACTGATGACATCCAATAGCCTGACTGCTCTTGCTGAGGGCTTAGCCAACAACAGGGTACAGCTGCGGACATAAGCCACCCCCAGATTTCCCGAGGAATAGTCCTGCTTGGCTTTTAAAGGGTGCTCAGAGGAAATCTAGTTCTTTCCTCTGCTTTTGGCAGCCTACTACCAGCTCAGGTTGTTGATTACGTAACAGTTACATACTGTGCCATCTGTCTTTGTGAGAGGCCGGTCTCCTTTACAAGCCAGGTTAGAGAAATTGCTTGGCACTGTCTTATCTTGGATTTTGCTTCCAACTTGAACCTCTAGAGAACACCATGTGTGCCTCCTCTCCCTCCCATGAAACAAGCGTGCCATGTATGTCTGTTTGGGGCTAGGAGCCTTGTTTACTATAACATTCACAGGGGTGTGCAAGCCTTTGTCCTTCTCCCATTCTTCCCTCCCCTCCCTAGCATGCGGCTGACTGACTGTTTTTAGCTTCCACTCAGTCTCTCTTCCCTACAGCTGCATGGAGATTTGATTTATGCTCATGTTAATATTTTTCAAAAATACATTTTCAGAGGTGGAAAATATTCTGTGTAGAAACTATGGCTCTCACGCCAGTGATTCAGAAGAGGCATTTAAGTTTTTCCATGTAATCAGAAAGAAATGTGAATATACACAGTTCTATGTGGATGAAAGCTCCAGGACTTTCTCTATTCTCCGTGGAGTAACCTTGAGAGGCAACAGTGCTAGAATTCTCTGAAATGCAGCAGCGGCCAGTGGCTGATGAGAGAGGAATAAATCCTATGTGGTCATTTGAGGTGAAAACCTAACTCAGAGAGGGCAGAAGAGAGGAGAGGAAAACAACATTCAAATTCATGCAACCAAGGCAAAAACCTGTCTCCCGATGGAGCTATTATGAACATGCTTTTAGAATGACATGTCATTTGAATTCAAGTGGAACCTGATTCACTCTACAAAGAGTGGGTACAATATAATGAATACTGGATTTAGAGTCAAGAAGGAAGATAATAAGTATTTACATAGCACTTACTATATGTCAAGCATTGTGCTAAGCACTTTGCATATATATCCCACTTGATCCTCACAACAATCCTGTGAGGTAGATGCTACTATTATTCTCATTTTACAGATAAGGAAACTGAAGCAAAGTGACATGCCCAGAATCATTCAGCTACTAATTTTCTGAGGTCAGATTTGAACTCAGGTATTCCTGATTCCATGCTCAAGGGTTCTATCCACTGTGCCACCCAGCTGCCACCTTTGCTAATTCCTACCTGTGTGACCTTGGGTAAACTATTTTTCTTCTCTGAGTCAGGTCTGAACCTGTAAGTACTGATTGCTTGGTACATCAGTAGGCATCTAGATCAACTCACAACTGAAAAATAAGCTCAATTACAACAAAGCTAACTAGTGGTGACTCAGTTTCTATTTGATGACCTCCAAGGAGAGCTCACTGCCTTAGAAGTAGGCCATTTCACTTTTGGACTAATTACCAATAAGTTTTTTTTCTTTTTTCCTGCTGGTAATTAGGTGGCTGAGTGGATAGAGCACTGGACCTGGAGTTAGCAAGACACAAATTCAAATCTATCCTCAGACGCTAGCTGTGTGATCCTGGGAAAATCACTTTAACTTTTATCTGCCTCAGTTTCCTCAATTGTAAAACAAGGATAGTAAAAGCACCTTTCTCATAAGATTGTTGTGAGGATCAAATGAGACAATTGTAGAACACCTAGCACAGTGTCTGAAACATAGTAGGTACTTAATAAATGCTTGTCCCCTCCCCTTTCCTAATATCAAATCTAAATTTATCTCCATGATTTCTACCCATTGTTCCTAGTTTTGCCTTCTGGGGACAAAAAGAATGAGGCTTATCCCTCTACCACAGCCTTTCAAATAATTGAACACAGAGATCATGACTCCACAAGTCTTCTCTTCTCTCGACTAAAACATCCTAACTCCCTTCAACAGATTGTATAATGCTAGTTGAATTAGGTACTGTGCTGGGTACAGAAATAAGGAAGACATAGTAGAAAAATTATTGGGGCCAGAGTGCCTGCCTTCTAATTATTTTTCCTTACTAGACCTCTTCACATGTAAAATAGGGGGTTGGACTGTATTATCTAAAAGGTCCCTCCTGGCTCCAAATCCTATGATCTACAGACTGGGCTATATAGAAGTAGAGAACCAGCAAAGCCTCGATCACATATAGTATTGGAGCAAATTCTCAAGGATTTTGTCGTTCCTGTTTAAGACTTTGTTCTCAGGTGAATGGGTGCTGTTTGCCAGAGCCATGCTTAGTATAGTAAAACTAATGTCAACATGGCTTACCTCCCTCCTTCCCTCTCCCCAACTTGGAATTGTTTTCCCTAAAAGATGACAATAAAGTTGTCCCAGGGACTTGATTAGCTCCTTGCCTCCCTTGACATAACTTCCTGGTCATCACTCAAGTCACCATACCCTGACCTGCTAACCGGGCATATATATATTTCTATGAGGAAGCAAGAGTTAAAGCTAAGTGCTACTGTATCCTTGCTGACATATCCTTTCTATGCTATAGCTAAATAGACTTTCAGCTAAACTAACTTTCAGTTAAAACCTATTAGTGACTCATTTCATCCCAACATTGAACCTAGATTAACAAGATAAAGGTTATCATGCCTGTCCCTAACAACTAGAAATTCTGGCGCCTGGGACAAATTCAGTTGTTTCTGTGTGCATGTAAATAGCTAAAGTATGACTAATTCTATACATGAGTAAGGTAGACTGGAAATATAGCTCATAGATTAGTAGGTTGAAAATGGGGAAGCCAAAATGTTTGAAGGGAACAGAAACAAATGTAGAAAGCTGTGAAGCAGATATTGAATTTACAGGGAGGGGGCAGAATGATCTGAAGTCCATGGATGACAAGGAACTAGAGAGGCCAGAGTGAACTAGAATGTAAGCTCCCTGAGCACAAGGACTGTTTCATTTTTGTCCTTGTGTCCCTAGCGCTTAGCACTCTGTCAGTTTTTCTACCAGTGTGCTTGTACATTTTCTGTTTAGTATTTCTGCTCTATTGAGACAATAAATAGCTGTCCTATACCTGATCTATATTATATATTAAATATCTTTCCATTTTCTCTGTTGATGTGACTGTACCCATGAGCAAACCTATGTTTTAGTTAGAGCAAAACAACACTTTTAGTAATTTTTTCCCATGGCTTCAGGATCAAGGTGGGTAAGACAAGGGAAAGGATACAAAAACAGCTGCTTAAGCCCTTTCATTAGTGGCCAGGATCTCACAAGGATGAACCTTGATCCATGCTCATCTTGGTCCAAAGCAGAGGGGCCCCTTAATAGCGAAAGGATGATGCAATGTCCTCAATCATAAGCACCCACAATTTATGTGACTTTTGTGAGGTTGATATGGTAGACATAATTAAATCAGTCTGTTAGGGGGCAAGAGGAGACAGGGAGATGTTCTACTTATTATATTCTAATTAATTAGACAGGAGGGTCAGCAGGTAGCCCTAAAGAAATGGGCCTAGATTCTAGTATCAGAGATCAAAACCCAGCAGTAGGAATTCTATGACCACCAGCCACCATAAGAATATTATTAGGTCAACCTTACCAGTGAAAAGGCCACTCCTAGCAAGGGTAGCTTCAGTGAGAGCCATGGAAGACATCTGCAGATGTCAGACATTAGAAAGTAACAGTGGTTCCAGATACTTGTGCTGCTCAAACCTGAGTCCTAGGGCAGCTCACTCTCCTCACTGGTAGTATGCATACATATGAGAGAGTATATCATTGGTTTATGGGGGAGTTTTCTGTTGAGATTTTTCTTACTATGCAATTGTATTAAATACCTTTGCTTTGAACTAATTGCATCCTTTGGATGACTAGAGAAAAAGTAAACAACAAAGTGGAAGCTCGTAGGGCAAAAGTAAGGTAAAGATTTTCTTAGGGCTCCAAGTGCTGCACAAATATTACAAACATATAGAAGAAAGGGAAAAAAATCAAAAGTATAAAGTATACCATCTCTTCTTGACATGCAATTGGGCGACTTGGTCCATTCTTTCACAGCCTACTATTAGCTGTTTTGTAATGGTTGAAATGCCCAAGATAATTACATTTTAATAATGCTTTTTATGTGCTCAAGTCAGCTAAGAGCTACAAGGTCTCAAATATTCCCGATCTGTCTTGTCTTTGGGCTTGAGAGCAGCCAATCTTTTTTTTTTTAAATTTAGGAGCAGAAGTAACCCTTCTCCTTAAGCAAAACCTCTCTTCTGGAGACAAACATTCCTTCTATGATTTTTCCATCTGAAACAGTCTTTCCTTCTGACCTTCCCACTGTTCTAGGCCCTGAAGCAAATCTTCCTTATGAGCTGCCCAGATGCCCTCTGGTGATGTCATTGTGTTTAGCTGAGTTCAGTCAAACCATTCAGGCTTGATGCTAGGTGAATGACTAAGCAACTTGGCATTTTAAAGGGACCAGACTTATTTTTATATCCACTATAAGTTAAAACAAATTTAACTCTACACTTAGGCTACATCCATAGTCACTGCTTAAAATTTAATTGTACAGATAAGACTACCACATATGAACAAATTGTCAAGACAGAAGAATATTTCATTATTTTCTACAGCAAATTTCTGAGGCAGTGAGCTTTAACAGAAAAAGCACTTCACCATGAGTCAGAACGCCTGATTCTATTTCATGTCTCTAATGAACCATTTGTGGGACATTGGGCAAGTCATCTCAGTTCTCTCCATCTCCTACTCTGAAAAATCAGAGGGTTAACCATGGTGATATTTAAGGTCCATCCCAGCTCAAACTTTCAGTTCTTGAACCTATGAATTGAAGGAAAAATATGTTAGTAAAGTCAAGAATAGGAAGAAAAGACTTCTTGGAAGTCAGAAAGTTTGTGCTATGTGACCCTTCAAAGACAAGTGGGTAGAAGGGCAGGGGACAGTAATTTAAGATGAGAATCATATGCATGAAAATGAGGAAGCAGAAAAGATTGTGGAATATTCATATAATGGTGAGACTATTAGATTGAGGGAGGAAGGCCCTAGTAAGTAGCTGGGGGATTAGGATGGGCAACATATAGAAGGTAGAAGGAAACTGAGGAAATATAAGGAAGGAGAGAAGTATATTCTAGGCATGGAGGAATACCAAGGCAAAGACCCAGGGGTGGAAGATGGAGTGTTCTATGTGAGTAACAGTAAGGTCAATTTTTCTCAATTACAGAATATGAGCTGGAATAATTTACAATGAAACTGAAAAGCTAGGTTGAGGTCTTTAGACTATGGATACCTTAAGAGACTTTATTTTCTCAGCTATTAGTGTAACATTTGCATGAGGGATTCCATTCCATCCTGTTTCCTCCAACAGATTTCCCCCTCTTATCTCCACTCTCATTTTTTCTTCAATATTTCCCTGTCTATTGGGACTTTCTCTGTTACCCACAAACGTGCCTGTCTTCCTTGTCCTCAAAAATCTCTTACTTGATCCTTACATCCCCAACTTGTCCTATATCTCTTCTGCCCTTTATGGATCATCTTCTTGAGAAGGCCAGCTACAGTAGATGCCTCTACTTTCTTTCCTCTCGTTCTCTTTTTAACCCTTAATATCCTGCTTTTGACCTCATCATTCCAACAAAACTACTTCCTCCAAGGTTACCAAGTGGCCTTTTCTCAATCCTTATTCTTCTTGACCTCTCTTTAACATTTGACATTGTTGATCACCCCTCTTCTCATTGACACTCTCAGTTTTGGGACACCACTCTTTCCTAGTTCTCCTCTTATTTATGTGATTACTCCATCAACCAGACCAAACTGGCCTCTAACCTTGGATGGCTGGAGTGAACAAAACAGGCTATAGACAGGAAACAAACAGAAGTTTAATTTCAAGGTGAGGGAAATGGCTTACAAGTAGGAAGGTAGATGAGACACATGTGCCAGAGCCCCACCCCTAGTGGGGGGATCTGAGGCAGTATGGGGAGATCTCAATACCTAATACCAATGGTTACACAGTAAGCTGTAGCCCTGACAATAAGGGGCAATCGCAATAATGAGACAAGTTTGATTCATAGCAGGACTTCATGACCAGAACTTGTCTTAGCTTGTCCGATGCTTGTCCAAGCTCAGAGAACGCTGGAGCTGGTCAAAACAATACAATAATTATGCAATTTTTCCAGGGGGTAAAATCATCCAAAGGATGAGTGCAAAAGATTGTTATTATGGCAACCTCAGGGCACAGCTTGCTTGCTGGGCCTTAGCTCTGGAAAACAAGGTATCTCCTAATATCTTGACATTTCCCGCCTTTGGCCAAAGGGAGGGTGTCTAAAAGAACCCTTACCCTTCTGGCCAATAAAGGAGAGGTAGGTATAAGCCAAAATTCCACAAGAAGCCAGTTGGACAAGGATGAACTTTTTATCCTAAGAGGTCAGTTCCTTGAGGGACCTATTGAGGAAGTGTGTCCCAGGTATTATTGCTAGCCACTGTTTATTTGCAAGCAGAAAAGGGAGAGGGGGGATAAAAGGTGGAGAAAGAAAATGACAACCAATGAACTCAGGCCATTGGTGGTTGGACACATAACAGGAGGGAAGAAGACAGTATACTCAGACCTTGTCCGGAATCTTAGGACAGCTATCTTGTCTGGGTGTCAGCTGCTTCTGGGTCCATACTAGATAAACCTTGAGGTCCCTGGAGAGTTCCGCTGTCCATTCAGGAGCAGGGGTTTTCTTCAGATGATCCAGGGAGTCTATACTCACAATCCAATTTTGAGAATTATTACTAAAACGTAGTCAAAGCCTGAATTTCCGTAATAGATAAATTTGGGAGCCAACCAATCAAAGTGATTTCTCAAAATTTACGGTTCCATTTATTCAGAAAACTTTTCATTACATCCTTGTCTTATTGCTTTGTCTAATCATTTCCCCCTTAGGATGATATCATCTCTGTTATAATCGTAAGATGTTCATACAGGCATCCTATTATAGTAACTCAGAGATGTTCCAGTATCAATCTATAACTTAATAGATTTAGTATTGTACTTACAAAACTTCTTGATTATAGAAATTTGCTATAAAAGCAAAAAGAAGGATATAGTTATAATGCTGCATAGTGTAACAGGAGGAAAAACTCCCTAATCTCTGTTTGATTCCAGGCATGAGTCATATCTGATAGCCAATCGTGTAGTCACAAGGTGTTAAAAGCAAGGCTCAGGATTAACAAGGTGAAGAAATTTCCTTTTCAGAAAGGAAATAACACAATGGAGAAATAGAGCCAGCAGGATCCTACCTTGGGCCATGCCAAAGTTGTCCCCAAAACTTTTCCCAGGCACAAACATCCACCTTTAGCAGCTCATGCTATTTTCTACTATTGGCTTCATGACAATTCAGACAACTATCCCTGTAATCAAAGCTCAGAGCAATAGTAAATTGCAGTCCCAGGAATTTTACCTTAAATAGCAAAATTTCACTAACACATCTTAAAGCTTGAATATCTTTTTTGATATTTCCCTAACAGTTAATGTTTAATTTATCCTTTACTCACAAATTTAAACTCCCTATATTCTGGGGCTTCAGATATATAGCAAATACCTAATAGTTGACTCATCATTAATGTATTGAAGCTACATCTTTAAACCACAATATACACTTTCATAATAGCCAAGAATTTCAAATGAAAATTTGCTTTTATATATTATTATTTTTACCTGTTTTACAACAAAATATACCTCATCAAATATTTAACAATTTTCAAATATCTAATTTTATCACATCCTTTTAAAAGCCCAATTCATGCATAACAGTATCCAGATTAAAAAGTTGTTTTGTCTAACAGCATTTCTGTTACAATGGTCTCTCAAATTTCACAATATAAGAGAATTCAGAAATACAATAATAACACAAATAACATCATGTATTTAAAACATGAAATGAAACTTCAGATGACATCAACTCATTCAATTGCATTTCCAAATTACCACATATAAAAATCATTAATCTTATTACCTTGGGCATTTTAAACCCATTTTAAAGTTATCTGGTATGGAACAATTACATTAAATGAAAGCAATAATAATAACATAGTACTTAGTATATGTCAGTCATTGTAGTAAGCACTTTATAATCATTATATTATTTTCATCCTCATAACAACCCTGGGAGGTGGGTACCATTATAGTTTTTCTCTTTACAGATCAGGAAACTGGGGCAAATAGAGAAAGATAACTTGCCTAAGATTATACAGCTAATAAATCCCAACATTTTTTTTTCAACACTTGTATTTTAGAATCTGATCTGAGATAAGAGGGGTTAACAAGTAAAGAGAAAGAGTCTCTGACCTGGAGGAGTTACAAGAGAACTTTGGTTCAAACAATCTTTTCTCTTTCCATAGTCAGAAATGTCAAGGAAGGGTTAACAAGAGGTTGCTATAAGGCACAAACAGTGTACCTGTTTTTTTTTCTTCACTCTGGAATTACTTCCAAACCAGCTGCCTTCCTTCATTGCCCTAGAACAGTGAAGCTATTAATCTTGCCATTTACTTTTAAAATTTTTTATAAAATTTAATCCTTATTTTTCCTTAAAATAAAGTCTACAGAATGGTACTCCAAAACTTACTAAGATATTTCAGAAAGGAGTGAGTTCCTGGGATTACCCCAAATCCCAGGAGCTCTCTGCAGTCTTAAAATGATTAATCCCCAAACTCCTTAACCTACCAAGATGTTTTTAGCAGTTCTACAAACTTTGATTATCTGACTTTATTTCTGTAATTCCAGCATAACCAAAACTGAAATGACAGAAAAAAAGTGTTTTGCAGATTTTTTTTGCTTTCTCCTTCCCTTTAACCTCATTTTCCTTGGAAAGTCTAAAGTGAGAGTTAATCCTGATTACTGGGACAATTGCTTCAAGTATGAAAGTTCATTAATCTTTCCCAGTGTTTTAAAAAATTTGGCTACAAACCTTAGAAGTTGTTCTGGATGACTGCATTTTAAATCTTTCAAGCAAACAGAATCTATAAACAACACAAACATGACACGGACACTTTACATTTTACAAAGACTCAAACAGACAAAATGATGAGGCAGATACAAACAGACACAAACGATTGTAACAAAGTGTGCCATTACAATTCTAATTTTAACCAGTTTGGCAAAGGCACACAGTTACCAAGGTGGGCAGTTTAAAAACAGCAGAGGCATGGCAGAGAGGCCAATTAATGGAGGTGTGCAGTTTAAGAAAGGATAGCCTTACCAGAATAATCTGAGATGAACTGGGTCACTGGAAGGGCCCTGGAGTTTTCTTCACAAAGAATGGTGAACTCAACCAAGGAAGGAGCTCGGGCATTGGAGCAGGAGAGGCCAAGGACTCACCAGATGAAGGAGATCAGACTCCAAAGAAATAAATTTCTGGTGGTGCCTAGTCTGTCCCCACTGGTACCAGAGTTCGATGACCTGGTTCCATGTCCAGTCCCATTTCTGACACCAATTAACGTCAACTGGACCAAACCGGCCTCTAACCTGTGGATGGCTGGAGCCAAACAGAGCAGGCTAGAGACAAGCGAGTAAGGAATCAAACAGAAGTTTAATTTCAAAGTGAGGGAAATGGCTCGCAAGCAAGGGGGCAGATTAGACACATGTATGGGGACCCACCCCTAGTAGGGAGACCTGAGGCAGTGTTGGGAAATCTCAATATTTATAGCAATGGCTATGCAGTGTGCTGTAGACCTGACAATGAAGGGTAACAGCAACAATGACACAAGTTTGATTCATATCAGGACTTTATGACCAGAACTTGTTCTGAGCTTGTTTGGTGCTTGTCCAAGCTCAGAGAATACCTGGGGCTGATCAAAGCAATACAACAATTGTACGATCTTGCCAGAGGGTGAGTGCAAAGGATTGTTGTTATGTCAACCTCAGGGCATAGTTTGCTTGCTGGGCCTTAGCTCTGGAAAACAGAGTTTCTCCTAATATCTTGACAATTCCTTTTCAGTCTCCTTTGCTGGATCCTCATCTAGGTCATGCCTTCCAACCACAGGTGTCCCAAAGGGCTCTGTTCTGGATCTTCTTCTCTACTCCCTCTATATTAACTCACTTGGTGGTCTTATCAGCTCCTGCAGATTTAATTTTCATTTCTGTTGGATGATTCTCAAATCTACCTATTGTGATTTAACTTCTTTGCTGACCTCCAGTTTTACATCTTCACCTGTATTAGAGACATTTTGAACTGGATGTTTAGCAATTATCTTAAACTCAACACATCTAAAACTGAACTAATTGTTCTTCTAAACCCTTAACCACTGATAAACGGTTGAGAGTATCACCATCTTCTGGGTCCCCGAGGCTTGCAACTTAAGTGTCATCCTGAAATTCTCACTACGTCTCACCCCTCATATCCAGTCTGCTGCCAAGACCTGTTTATTTCATCTTCATAACATCTCATGAATCCAGCCCTTTCTTAACACCAATACTGTGGCCACCTTGGTGTTGGGTCTCATCCTTTTACTCTTGAACTATTGCAATAGCCTGTGATACATTTGCTGCCTCAAATCTTTCCCCATTCTAATCCATTCTCCATTTAGCTGCCAAAGTGATTTATATATAAATCAAATAAATTTAAAGCACAGGTTGAACTGTCAACTTCTACTTAAAAACACCAGTGGTTCCTTACGTCAAGATATTAGGAGACACCCTGCTTTCAAGAGCTAAGACCGAGCAAGGAAGCTGTGGCCTGAGCTTGGCATAACAACAGTCCTTTGCACTCACTTTCTGGATGACCTCAGCCCCAGCAAAATCCCAGAATTGTTTTATATAATTATTGTATTGTTTTGACCAACACCAGGTATTCTCTGAGCTTGGTCAAGCACCAGACAAGCTTGGAGAAGTACCCACATTCTGGTCATGAAGCCCTGCTATGAATCAAACTCGTCACATTGTTGCTGTTTCCCCTCATTGTTAGGGCTACAGCTCACTGCAGCCATTGGTATAAGTACTGAGATTTATCCGCACTAAAGTGGGCCCCCCTCCCATTAGGGGTGGGGCAGTGGCATATGTGTCCCTGCTTGCAAGCCATTTTCCTCACTTTGAAATTAAACTTCTTGATTCCTGATTCTCCTGTCTCTAACCTGCTTTGTTTGGCTCTGGACACCCACAGATTAAAGGCCGGCTCCAGTCCAGTTGACATTTATTACCACCAAGGTCAAATACAAAATCCTCTGTTTGTCATTCAAAGCCCTTTGTGACCAACCTTGTCCCCGCCCATCCACTTTACACCTTACTTCCTTATGTGTTCTCAGCTCCAGGTGTTTTAAATGGCTGTTCCTGATACATGAAAGACACTCTGGTGTCCTTCAAGTCCCATCTAAAATCCCATTTTCTACAGGAAATCTTCAACTTCTCTTAATTCTAGTGCCTCCTCTCTTTTAATTATTGCTTATTTATCCTGTATATATCTTGTTTGTACATATTGGTTCATTGTCTCCCCCATTCAACTTCCTTCAGGACGAGGTCTATCTTTTGCCTTTTTTATTTTTTTGCATCCCCAGTACTTAGCATCATGCCTGGCACATAGTCAGCACTTAATAAATGTTTATTGACCAGCTGACTGAAGGGCTTTAAATTCAGGACTATGTATTTGATCCAAGAGGAAATCAAAATACATTGGAGGTTATTGAATAGAGGAATGAAATAGTCAGATCTATGCTTCAGGAAAATCATTTTAGCAGCTCTGTAGAGGGTAGATTGGAATGGCGAAGCAACTGAGGCAAGGAAACAAATGAGAAAAATTTAAATATCCTATTGAGAAGTGATGAGGACCCGAACTAGGGTGGGTCAGATGTGAAAGATGCTGTGGAAATAGAAACAAAAGTTTTAGCAACTTTGGATATCTGGGATGCGGAAAGTGTGGAATTGAGGGCAAAGCTGAGGTTATAAACCTGGGAGTTTGGAAGAATTATAGGTACCTTCAAAAGAAATAGAAAAATTTGAAAAAGAGTGGGCTTGAAGGGAAAGATAATGAGTTCTTATTTGGATATCTTGAGTTTGAGATGTTTTGGGGCCATTCAATTTGAAATGTCCAATAGGCAGTTAGTGAGAGGAGAACAAGGTTCAGGGGAGAGACCGAGACTGGATCATGTGCATGCTGGTAGATGTTTAACAATCGTCTCATTTTCTTAAGTCTAGACAATCAAGAAACCAATAAATCAAATCCTGATTTGTAGTGTTTGCCCATTTCCAAGGTATAAATGCTCACAGTGAAAATTTAACAATTGACTCTTGTGAGTTGGTTCAAGCTCACTCCAGCAAGCCCCTGGATTGAATATATAAATTGGTGAGTCATCTGCATATGGAGCTGATGAGATCACCAAGTGAGAAAATGTATCACCAAGTGAGAAAATGTAGAGTGAGAAGAGCTTCTCTTGTTGCATCCCATTCATTTTTTCTTGTTACATGGTCCTGTAATGGCATTCTCTGCTAGGCTAATTTTCTATGTTTATAAGATATGCATATGTGCTTTACAGAATAAAAACATCTGAGTTTAAAAAAAAATAGAGTTAGGGTTAGGGTTAGAGACAGAGCCTTGGGGGTAGTCTCATTATTAGGGAGTATGAAGTGATGATCTTAGAAAGGAGACTGAGAAAGACCTGTAGTAAGAAAACTGATAGAGAATGGTATAATGAAAATACAGGGGTAAAAAGAATTGTAGAGTGGTCAAAAGCATAAAATGCTACAGAGAGATGAAGATGGATGATGACTGAAAAAAGACCATCAAATCTGGCAATTAATGATTCAGATTCCCTGAACAGTTGTTAGGTGTTGCTATTCAAGATCAGTATATTTCACTCAAATGTAGCTCCTTATTTTTTTTTGCAAAGATGTTGGATGTCTTTTATTTATTGACAAGTATATTTTTTTAAATGTGGAAGATTTGCAGATTGAATTTATTTCAACAAATATTTATAAGGTACCTATTGGAATGATCAGGGGAGGCCCTGATCAATTTGATGAGTCTCTCAATCAACATGCATTTTGATGACTGAGAGTTGGTGTTTTTTTGGTTGGCTCTTGTTGAAAGAACCCTTCCCTGAATGATCTGTAATAGCTAGCTGCAAAAGCTTTGGGCCTTTTTGAGTACTTTCTCTCCCTTGTGCTTCCTCATTGGAGTTCAACAATGGAGAGAGGAAGGTATTTCTCTTTATTACTTACTCCCTTCCCCTACCCCAAGAAGGAAATGAAGACATACAGGAAGAATCATGGTGAACAATATGTTCTTGACCACGTGGCCTGAATTTCTTGGACCTCAAGTTCCTGCCTTCCTTTTGCTTCTCCATTCCTCCTCCACCCCAGCACAGTTCAGGGACAAGAGTTCCTGAGGACTGACTTTCCGTACCCAAGATGTAGCAACTGCAATGGCACTGATGATATTTCTGCAGGAGCATGTGGCAGTGGTACTCATGTGCTTACATATGTTCTAGAAAAAAAAAAGAAAGCCTCTGGGTGTGTGTGTGTGTGTGTGTGTGTGTGTGTGTGTGTGTGTGTGCGCGCGCGCGCATGTGTGTGCATAGACTTAAAAATACATTTTTTCAATTATGAAGCATTTATTTATCTTACCTCCCTCGTCTTCTCCCCCCTTGCTTCCACTATGAAAGAAAAAGAAAAAACAAACCCCTTGTAGCAAACAAATTTCCACACATTGTCCACATCTAAAGTGTGCACCTCATTTTGCATGTTTAGCCCATGACCCCTCTATCAGGATGTAGGTGGCATTCTTTGTTGGTCTTCTGGAATCATGGTTGGCAATTGCATTGGTCATAGTTTTTAAGTGTTCTAAAGCTGTTCATTTTTACAGTGTGGTTATAGTATAACTTGTTTTCTTTCTTCTACTCACTTCACTCAACATTAGTTCATTTAAGTCTTCCCAGGATTCTTTGAACCCATCTACTTCATTTTCTCATATCACAACAGTATTCTGTTACGTTTGTATACCATCCAAATTTGTATACCTCTTCTGCCTCTCCTCCTCATATACATTCTATATTCAGCATTCACATATAGAGCCCAAGGGGGAATGCCACTCCTTGAAGAAAAAGTATTTCTTTTATCCTGTGAAGTAATTTTTAAGGCCATTATCCATATGCAAGCATGTGCTCAGGTGTACACGCGCACACAAACATGCACGAGTTGCTACAAATATTTTTGTACATATGGGTCCTTTCCTTCTTTCTTTGATCTTATTGCAGTATATGTGATTCAAGTATTGGTACTGGTACTGCTGGGTCAAAGATCATACCTGTTTTAGTAATTTTAGAGGGTAAATTTCCAAATTGCTTTCTAGCCTGACTGAAGTAATTCACAGTTTATTAATTTGCCCATTTTCCCACAATTCCTTTGAAATGCATCATTTTCTTTTTTTTTTGTCACCTTCACCATTCTGATGGGTTTGAGGTAGAACCTCAGAGTTGCTTTAATTTGCATTCCCCTAACTATTAGTGCTTTGGAGCATTTTTCTCACATAACTATAGAGAGCTCAGATCTCTTCCCTTGA